ACACACCTACACACGTGTACGTCAAACGTGATCACCCATCTCTTTCTAACCACACATCTCAGACAAGGACGGTCGAGTTTAGGACTAACATTTTATATGTTAGCCGGGTCATGGATATAAAAATCGTTTTTCTTTGTATATTCTATAAGATAGACATATAGGGCATTAAGAATCCTCAATAATGTGAAATGATTGCTATTGTATTATCTATAAATGTTTTTTCTTTCTACCCTCCGTTCCATAGTCGAATAGTTATTTATTTGCCATACCGTTTTCACTACGTGGGCACATACATTTCTCGGTCTGCAAACGTCAAATCGAAAGACAAGCGTTAGTTTTCCGTGGCCTGCCTAAATCAACTTTTTATCAACTTAGGATGTCTGTAGAATGTTGAAATATCTATACTATACTAATATTATAAAGCTGAAAAGTTGGTTTGTTTGTTGAAACATAATTATGACAGGAGCTACTTCTTTAGTATTAGACAGAACACTAATGGAGGAAGGATTTAGGCTATATAACATTACACTGTCAACATTAAGTGGAAAGTAGTAACAATCTTTAAAAGTCCGTTGCGTGCGTTGCAGCCACGGTTCAAGCAAGTTGGGGAACCTTTAAATGATCTACAAATGTCCGCCACACTATATGTCTATTTCTGACGATTAGCTCGCAAGAAACGTTTTCGAATCGAAATTAATGCATTATTACCAATTATTGTTAGACTTACATCAACATAATAATATTAATCATGAAAATAAAAAATAACAAATGCCCGATCTTAGCTAAACATATTTGAAATATATATAAAAGAGTCTGTTTGTTTGTTTGAACGCGCTAATCTCAGGAACTACGCGTTCGAATTCTTTTGTTAGTTAGAGCATTTATCGAGGAAGGCTATAGGCTATAAAACATCGTCCTGTGACTAATAGGAGCGTAGATACAGCGAAAAATGTGACAAGAATTGGGAAAATTATTCATCATTATGGGTTTCCGAGGCGTACGCAGCAAAGATACCCAAAAAAATTATCGATGATCTAAACAAAATCTGCGACGCTATAGCGTATATGTCTATATTTTAAAATTAACTGCAAAAACGACGGGAAGGGACGGGAAGTTTATAAAGATGGTTTGCAAAAACGAATTTGCATGCCCCAAATAACTATTCTACGCGGACGAAGTCGCTGACGCAGCTAGTTTGAAATATATATATATATAATATTTCTATAAACCATGATTAAAACCCCGCTAAGTTAATCTTATTTCTTAATGTCATCTATAAACATATATATCTGGTTATCTTCTGTATAAATTAATATTTAAAATGTATACTCATATTCTTTTAAAATTCGAACTGGAGCGTATTAAGAAATCTTCATGAAAGCTTATTTCAGCTTTAGAATTTTACTAGACTGGGCTCCTTTTATATTTTAAGGTTTGTATGAATTATGAATACGGGTTGAGTATAGGAGTTAATTAAAATATAAATACGACTGAGTAAAGTTAAACTTATCTTTTCGACAGCATTGCCAACAGAAAGACGGTCTGGATTATGCCGCGTGGTCGCGACCACGAGGCGCTATGACCATCAAACAAGGTTATGAGGTGAGCTTTCTGGTCGCTAGAATTGAGTGGCGTTAGAAGCAGTAGATGTTATGCAACATTAGCATTTTTTGTTGTAGATCTGTTTACTAGTTTAGTGGAAAAACGTGTCCAAGACGGCCATTTTAGACAACCAGAGCTTATGCCATTATAACAAAAAACCTTTTTAAAATATTTTTCATATTTAGGACATATCTATGGAAACTTATTTTGTTAGCTTTGTTTTGTAGCAAAATGCATTTTATACAATAGTAGATTGATTCTTTTTTGCATATAGTAGACAGTAGTGCTTTCGTTTGTATGTAGTAGAAACACGCCTAAGTTCCAGTAAATGGCACCACGTGATGTGTAATAACAGTTTTATTTGAATACATCTTTAACGGTCTAAAAATTTATTAGTGAACTAATTTACAATTTTCTTAAACTATAGCCCGACGTTTTCGATGCTTTACATCAGCAGTGGTTACGGGGGGAGACTAATAAAGTAATACGTAAATAGTTTTAAACCGTTAAAAGTGTTTCATTTTTAACGGTTTAAAACTATTTACGTATTAATTTTTTAAACCGTTAAAAATTAATACGTAAATTTTAATGTGTACTCACATAAACTACAGACAACAGTGATGATTAAACGCGTTTGGAGAAATCCTAGATTCTGATCCGGGGTGAAAATAATAGAACGACGATCACAAAAATGTAACTTTTAATCGATCAATGAAGTAGACATAAAAGTGTGTCTGCTTCGTTCATATGTAAGGTAATTGGGATTTCACGAGTTCATTTTTTATTATTGTAAGCATTAGGTAATTATTATTGACAGCAGCGGCTAAGTAGCAATATACATATCTTTACTTTTTACTTAAATATAATCATTTTAAGTACATAGTTACGAATATTATTCTCGCTTCGTACAAATTCGTAAAGACAAACGCGAAATTCAATATTAAAATCTCTGAAGTTAACTGCGTAAAATGCATAGAAAGTGAAGTGTGAGTTGTGATGGGCGGTCTCTGAGACCGACAGATTGCAAATGAGACTCTTTGTCAAACAATTGACCCCCCGGGGTAAGATTCATATATTATAAGACACCCCGGATCCTGATAGCTCGCGTACAGTCGCGTAGACCTCAAAGGATAAAATAAATGAAAGTTGTATTACGTTCTTTTCTACCCGACTGTATTTTATTTCATAAACACCATAAATCTAGATCCCGTTAACCCTAAAATCGCAAAGTGGGTCAGAAAAACAAGTACTACGCGCGCAGTTTATGTCGAAATTTGCAATTAACCACGATAGATGGCGCTGTTCTAAGAGATTCCGTGTAGCGAGTTTGACGCGATATTTTTATTTTACGAGTGTCTAACATTGATACATTGTTCTTATATTATTTTGTATGCGTCGCCACAAAAATAAGATTGAAGAAGTATCAACTTAAAAAAAAAAACGTTTAAGTGAAACAGTCTTATTTTTTGTTAGAGTAGGAGTGAGGTGAGAGTGTTGCGGCAAAGTAGCACATACAACATAGATTGGCTGCCCTAAATGCGCCCTAACATAAATTAAGAAACAGCCTAAATAATTAAAAATTCTACCCCAAGTCACTATTCCACGCGAACGAAGTCGCGGGCACAGCTAGTATATTATAATATATTAATTATATCGTACGTCTGAAAATGGGATAGTACAGAAAATAATCAGTTTCCAACCATTTCCCGCAAACTAAAGGTTCGATCAGTTAAATTAAATGTCGGAAGGGGTTTGGTCGTTTATCTTTGATAAATTAATTTGTAGTTCACTCGGTATTGTGGTTAGTGTTATAATTTATGTGTTAATTCACTGTGTTTTTAACTTAGAACTGTTGCTTTGAGAACAATTCATTACATTACACATTAAGTTTGTATACAAAGGATTTAAAAGTGTTTGGCAAGAAACAATGGACGCGAATTTTATCGTATCCAAAATGTAGGTACCAATTTCACTTACCTTACGTACAATTCATTAGTTACCCTCTTATTGTTAAAAATACGCGATACAAATTTATTCAAACAAATATTTTTTATAGTTATACAATGCCAGTTAACACCGTATTAGAAGTACTTAGTAAAAAAAATTATCGAATTTAGGCCAACCTCTTTATTTTATTTCTTCTGATTAAAACGTGCAATATTTCTAGTTATTTTACATTGTCTTCACAAGTTAGCAAATGAACTCTCTGTTTTTATAGAACATTTTTAACTGTTTAAAACTTTAAGTATATGTTAACTTTAACTAAGACAATTAATTGAGGCATAAGAATATTTCAAAGTTAAACGTTTTTGCCTGAATCTAAGAGTTCTAGTAAAAAAACCGTGTACCGTGGTGACTAGTTGTAAGACACACGAACGGTCGTAATTGAGACTAATACATTCAACGTTTTAAACCGTTACATTTGTTTTATTGCTCAAACTACAGACGTGCATTGACACCGCGTTACGGCGCTAGTTGGTCTTGCTACCGTAAATACATTGGGCATTCCTTGATAAAATGTCTTAATGATTTCAAAGCCAACACCAATGAGCCATTCAACCCACGGTACGTATTAATCATAATAACGTGTTGAACACTTAGGGTGACCAGCCAATAACTTAACTGCGGACGTCCGAGTTGAATTAATAACGCACGGTTTGTCGCGACGTGGTCACACTAAATTACATTTGTTCCTTACTTATGTAAAATATTAGTTTTGGACTGCCCTTTGGCTGGGTTACGTTTAACTTGGGGACTGTTAGTGTTTTGTCGATGTTATTCAATTGAATATAGGACGTGTTTGTTAAGAGGTCCTGGGTTTGAATATCGATAAATAGCTTCAGTCGGAGGTAACGAATGTAAGTGAGACCAGTTCATAAATTTTCTATTAACTAGTTGAACCGTAACAAACATCTTTTTCCCATGCCCCACATTGGGGAAATAAGATTATAGTAAAACTCTTTATATATTTAAAATAAAACACTTTAACGGTTTGAAACGCGATATATATTAATAAAACTTCTTTACAAATTATTTTAAATACAGCCCGACGTTTCGGAAGTGTTGCAACAAGCCTTGATCACGGAAACGCTAATTAATTTGTTTACTATATAATACTCGTGTTTAAAACCGTTTAATGTGTACTAATCGCGTAAACTACAGACGGTATTTCTTTATATTTGGTAATATAATCTTTTGCACATCTTTTTTTTTGCTTGTTACGTATTATGGCCCGGGACCTTCAATACTAATTTTTTGACCGTGCCTGTGGCTAGACCAAGCGTTCCCCCAACGGGGGGCATAGTTAAATCTTCATATAACAATGCTCTAAGTTCTAACAGATACTAGTGTATGAAGAAAATGTATTGAAAATTATTTTCTCTCTTTTCCAGGCCAAGATGACGACAGGCGACGGCACTATGCATCAGAAGACTGACGAAAGACTGGGCCATCACCAGTCCATGAGCCAAATGCTGTACGGCACCAGCTTAGGACCAGGACGATCAGGTACGAACTATTAAAATAATACATTAATACAATTAACAATTGGTCTAATGGTAGCAATGCATGGCTAATCAAACGGGTCGTGGATTCGATCCCCACCGGGCTTAGCATTTCTCTAATCAATATTATAAATATTCTGCGTTTTGATCTTCGTGTGGAAATCTGGATTATAAGTGGGTAGGAATATAAAATTTCGTACGGGACACGAACCCCCGTCCGCAGATTATATTTCGTCTCTCTCTTCTTTATAATACAATACTATTACATAAATATGCAACTTAAGAAATATACACTTGAAAAAATTTGATGTAAAATACTACACATATAAAACGAATATATTAACGGTTAAAACGAGACGTATATTACATTATAAATAGTCGATGCAGCAGAGCTTCTGTCGGGCAGTAGTTAATATAATTTTAAATAAGTGTAACTCATATATATCGCATTTTAAACTGTTAAAATGGTTTTATTTAAATATTAATAGTATATGTAAAAAATAATTTTACACTGATGTTGTGAAAGCAATTCGAGCAAAATTTTCTAATCATTCTTAAATATAAAAAATGCACAACTTTAATATTCGGTTGTTAGTTGTGCAAAAAAAAACATTTTTGTTATCTAAAAAAAAGATCTATCACCATTGTATTAAAATATTTATAAAAACGTATCTATACTCCAGGGTCATCATCATCATCCCCTGTGGGGGGTGCCAACACGGGGAGCGGGTTGCTCGTGGTCCCCCAGCCCCTCGGAAAGGGCCCCACCAAGTTACAACCCCTACATGCGCACGCGAGGAAGTACCACTGCAAAATGTGTCCGCAGGTATGTTTTATAAGGATTGAATAACGTTTTGTCAACAACTCGCGGTTAAGAGAGATAAAACCTTCTATCAACGCTCAAGCTTCTACTCAAGCTGTACTTCTCTTGTAGGATGACTTTTACTGTATTCACAAGACAAAAGTTTTAAATACTGTCTATAGTTTACGCGAGTAGTACACATTTAAATAAAACACTTTAACGTTTTCACGGGGAGACCCCGTGACCACGGCTGCTGCAAAGCATCCGAAACGTTCGGCCGAAGTTAAAAATCATTTTGAAATAAGTTTAACTATTATATCGCGTTTTAAACCGCTAAAGTATTTTATTTAAATTTGTTCCTTTTTATCATGCACCAGCTGTCGCCGCGACTTCGTCCGCTTAGAATAGTTATTTTGGGTATCGATATTTGTTTTTGAAAACTTTCTCATATTTCTAAAATAAAGTTTTTGCAAACGCGGAAAAATTAGTTAAAATTCTTTGAAAATGAATTTTTAAATAAGTTTAACTAATATATCGTTTTAACCGTTAAAGTTTTTATTTAAATGTGTACTACTCGCGTAAACTATAGACAGTAAATTATATCAAGCAACTTAATCTTAAAAGAATGTTTTAAATAAAAATATTTTGTGGAAAGCTTTTTGCAGGCAGAGCGCACTCAAACCCCGCAAAGAATAACTATTTTCCCCCTTTTTTTACATTTCCCATTGTATCTTCGCTCCTATTGATTTTTAAAGCCTTCATAATGTTCTAGCCAACAAAAAAGGGGGTTTTTAATTGAAACCAGTAAGTCCTGAATTAGTGCGATCAAACAAACAACCTCTTCTGCATTATTTATTTTGGAGCAAACATGCAAAGACTGCGGACCTAATACGAATCGAATTAATATATTTTTTCAATTTTAATATATTATTATCATTTTTATTGTCTTTAATCTCCTATAACTTTTGGCGATCCGCCATCATTTCATTTCTACATGAGACTATAGATAGGTAATTAACATTCAATTAATATAGCAGCTCCTATAACTAAATAATTTTAATTATAAACAGTTGTAAATGTCCCTTAACGATACAGGAGATCCAAGATGGCGTCGATGGCGAAATGATAATGAGCCGGCTGTCACTCATCAAAATTCAATTCGTCAACCGTAGGTACGGTTCGCAGAAGCGATTCCGGCGAAAATTCGAATTTAATTTTTTAATTTTATTTAATCGTTCGCGAAAAATCCGGAGCGCGCCGATACTTAAATTATATTATTATCTGATGATACACGTATTATGTGAAAATGTCTGTAGTTCCGTTTGGAATTACTCAGTCGTTTAATGCCGCGCGTATCAAATTCGGTAACTAAGTTTCAGTATAGCATCCGAAACGTTGGGCCGTAGTTAAAATAATTTTAACTAACATATATCGCGTTTTAAACCGTTGTAGTGTTTCATTTAACTTTAAGTTTGTTTTTGAAAAGTTTTTAATTTAATCCAGATATAATCGATTATAAGATTAAAGAAGTCGCTTCCGTGGCTCAGTGGGTAAATGCATTCTTCTGTTCGTTAATCCAGGACGGGTTTGATTCACGGGGGAAGTAGATATTCTGTACTATAAATATAAACAACGGAGATTTCATTCTCGCATTATTACTCTTAAAATTTCAAAATGCATTTTATATTTAAAACGTCTAAAACCAAATTTGCATTTTAAGCCATCAACGACCTACTTTATCAATTAAGCTACAATATGTCTATGGTTCGAATTTATAATCTGCGCCTTCTCTTTCTATAAAAGGGGGTCCCCCTTTTCAGAGCAATGCTTAGTTAGTAAAATGACACACCACGGTGTTTACTTAGTTTAGTATAATAGTTATTGTTTTGATACTGACACTCTCTAATCATAATAGAACTTACAGTCTATGATTGCCAAAAATATCTATTGCACTGACTGTACACATACACATAACAATTAATTGTCTATTATGTTTTTGCTGACCGTGCCGCAAACTAGCATTGTAGGAATAATTTGCGATTTATCAAAAAGAGATTTTAAGATTATTAATATGATTTTAATGAATTACTTATAAAGGAAACACATAGAGTCAAAATATTTTAGACGTTTTTATTGAATAGAATGATATGCAAAGTTTACTATCTATACTAAAAAAAAGTGAAGAGTTTGTTTGTTTGTTTGAACGCGCTAATCTCAGGAACTAGGTGCTGGATCGAATTGAAATATTATTTTCAAAAACCACTAATTTCCATACAAGATTTCATCCCCTTTTTCAACCCCATCAACCCTTATTTGGTATTAAAAAGTAGCCCATGTCATTTCTCAGGCTCTAAAATATCTGTGTACCTAATTTCATTTAAATCAGTTAAGTAGTTTCCGAGTTAAAGTCGGAAAGACGGACAGAGTTACTTTCGCATTTATAGTATTAATATAGATTACGTTGTTTTGATCTGCATTTAGAACGAATAAAAATATTAAATTCGAAATTAAAATAATAATACTCGTAGTATAAGCAAAGTATTCCCTTCCACAGACTAAACAATAAAAATAGTGAGGCTACAGTTAAAATGACCGAGTTAATCAAAACAGTAGCTGGAATGTTATCGCAAAAATGTCAAATACCGGAGCGAAGGAAAGCCGAGCGACTGACAAAAAGTCGCATCGGCTAATACTTATTGCGTTTGTGTAAATTTTCGAATTCCAGAGCCAGGATCTCGCTTTTGGCACTGCCGATTCAGGGGTACGCAACATTTGGCACAAATAAAATATCGAGATATTTTCATGTTTAAAGACTTATATACATATATGAGTATGTTACTTAGTTACTGACCACCAATTTGTTTACCCAGTAGTCCTATTTTTGCTTCCTTTTAATCTTTTACAGACACCTAATCTAATTCTCCCCCTCTTCATCTGAAACTATCAATCATGATTCCCCGGTTATCGAACCCCGGTTCTCTCAAGCTTAACGGTGTTAAAATCTTATACCATTTTTTAACTTAACAAGCAATCTTTTTATAGAAATAAATACATCAATAATAAAGACAGTAATTTTATTTATTAGGTTCAAAATATTAAATTGTCATCAATATTTGCTTTGCTTTGTTATATAAACGCTCTATTAAACAAACATTCAAGTATCTTTAGTAAAGTAATATACAAATATAATGGAAATAAGTAACTTTATTATTTTTATACTGGTAGTTGTAAAAGCCCACCAATCCGCACTGGAGGAGTGTAATAGGTCGAAAACTAAACCTTTTACACCCTTTTTTATATAAAAATGCGATATATATTAATTAAATTATATTAACTACGACCTCGACGTTTTAAACAGTTAGTGTTTTATTTAAATGTGTAGTACTCACGTAAACTACAGACAGGGTATTTTTCACTTACACCCCGTTAAGATACCGGTATATCTCATCACATCAAATGGTACCGGTACCATGTTGATGTGATGTGTGTGATGGCATTGCAACGAATAATATAAATAAATAATGGAATCTTACAAATTGTTTCCAACACCTACCCTAGCTTTAAAAATGGCCGACGGTCGCCAAAAATGTAAGCGGTAGAAATAACTGTTTTTTAATTATCATGTTCGATCGTTTGGGATCCCAGTCTTCCTCATTTCGTGTTCGGCGCTTGCGATGCCCTTTCAAAGGTCGCACGTTTGACGGTCAGTTTATAAAAGGGACATTTTATTGACTGAAATACGCCCAAGATGTAGCGTCTATCGCCTATGGCTTTACGGCAGTTCCAAGTTTACACAAGAGATGGAGCCACAGTGATTCAATAATTTTAACACGATGAACGAATAAAATTACTGCCTCCTTCACTACTGATCCTAGGTTTGAATATCGCATAGTTTCGGTCTAAGGGGGGCACAGAATTAAATAGACCTGTAAATAAAATCGACCTTGTAAGTTTTAAGTGTACACGTTATATAAACAATTTTACTGGCTTAAAACGCGATATATACCTTATAATATCTATAAAAATGCGCTGTCGACCAAATTTTGGCTGTTGATACGAATATCCAGACAGTGAACTGTAAACAATTCAGAGACTGAAACCGAAATGCGATTAAAATTGACGGTACGTACGATACGGTACGGTACGGCACTACGGATACGGTACGGTCTGTAGACGATGGTTCTTGACCTAGACAGAATTTCAATGTTCCTACCACCTATTTATGATCCAGATTTCCAGATGAACTCCAACATTTTCAGGAACATTGGTATAAATTGATTAGACTAAATTGTAACTAATCACTCTAAGTTCTGTTCTGTAATATAATTTAATCATAGTTTTCGTATTAAATATATATGTAGGCACCGGACTGAATAGAAAAAGGCAGATACCTATAAGAAGAAAATCTCTTAAGAAATCACAAATTACCACTAAAAAAATTCCTTACGGAAGCCGCCTTATGATACGAATTTTATTTCGTGACAAATTGACAACTATCAACCCTATTCTAGTTACCTTTTCGCAAGCTAAAAACGACCTTAAGTTTTAAGACATTAACACCATTTTTCCTTAGCAATTTAGTCATAGATCTATTTATTCAATGCAAAGCAAAATCAACTTTAACTTAGACGGATTAGATTTGTTTTTGGTTGAAGTTAACTTATGGACAGATAGTGCTGTAGAAAATCGTCCGAGGGTGTTGATGGTGATTTTGGATTTCTCATGACGTCACTTAATGGTGATCGTTATAGGAATGGAGAAAGAGGATAAATAACTAGTGATTACCGGCGGGTTCGCTTATTGCACCCACTTAAGGACATGTCAAATTCTCAAAGAAAAATACTCGATATAAAGAACAGTAGAATTTACGCCAGTATACCTACACCTTTAAGCAATGTACGGAATTTATAACGTTAAATATATTAGTTACACTTATCGCATAAGTCCAGCTGTAGTTGAAATAATTAGATAAAATTGCAAATGTGTTAACTATTATATTTCCCGTTTTAAACCGTTAAATTGTTTTATTTAAAAATATCATTTTTTAATTTTATTCTGTCATAACAGAAGAGAAGAGTATGGTACGGTACGGTATATGGTCAAAAATTTATTTACATATTTTTTGGACACTCGAAAATACATAGACTAAATTACGACACAAGCTTTTCCATCTCTAGATGATGATCGATAGATCTCTAGATAATGGTTGTCTATAAATTTGACTGATATCTAAATAAAGGCTACTAAGAGAGATTTTTTAAATAATTATTCTCAAATTTTGTCCAGATTGTCGAGAGTCAAAACCACACAGCCCGTCGGTGGACTAGTTATTATAATTTATTTGATATCGTATGAACATATAAAAACACCTCTTGGAAACCTCTTTAATTCATTTTTTTTTAACTTTATGTACGTGCGTAATAAAATAATTTTAGTATAAGTTAACGTCCCTTAAGCTTTTAAACCCGTTTCACAACGGAAATTGCGAAAACGTCCGTTAAGTACAGTCACATTATCGAGCGAATAACATTTCAAACAAAAATAATAATTAAAAATATAAAAGTCGAAGTGTTGGCAGGTGGAAGACGCACGCACTGGCGCAATTAAGACTTGTCACGGAGAGTACCTTACAATTATATGTTTGGCCCCTAGATGGGCCTTTTGCTTAAGAATCATATTATAATTATTTAATTATAAGTCATATATAAGCATAGAAATAGTTTTTTTTATATTTAAATTATCATAAAAGTAAGTGTGGCCTTAAAAAAATAATTAAAGATCATATATCAGTAAGTATATAATCGATTATGGATTGAAAAAAAAAATATATTACGACACGGGCAGGAATTGAACCGGCTTTCACATTGTTAAGGTTGAAAGTTATATAAAAAAAAAAAAAAAAAAAAAAAAAAAATTTATTTACTACTAGGGCACATAAAAACACATGTTACACTTATTACTAAACATAAAAAAAAAAAACATAATTTTGTCTTAACAGTATAACTTAATATAACAAGTTAGGATAATGTTGGGCTTAGTAGAATAGGATCTTCCTCAGTTTATATCAGGCTTTTTGTTGACCTGAAACTGATTTTCAGTAAGTCCTTAGGGGTGTGGACAGCGGTGCCACACTCAAGTTAAAATAAACAAAAAAATAAAGTTGTGTTGTACAAATAAAAATACAGTAAAATTTACAAAGAAAAAGTAAGACAACTGCATAAATAGAAAAAATAATTGTTCCATTCCATCTACATAATGTTAGGTTCAATATTATAGGTTTCACTGACAGCGCCATCAACGCCGGTTTTTTGTAACGATAGCAAATATTCTTTGTACCGTCTCTTAAAGGTGGTAAGTGCTATTTTAGTCCTTAACGGGGGTGGTATATTGTTCCAAATTGGTGGCACTATAGTGAAAGCCCCGTGGAAAGCAGCCGTTCCGTGGGCGGGAACGTTAACATATACAATGACGCCCGGGTGAAGTGTGGATATATCACACAAAAAGTATTATTATGGTAGGACAAAGTAGCTCAATTTGTTAAAACAAAAGCACGGAACGCTGTGGATGCCGGTTCAAGGTCTTCCCGCGTCAAGAAATTTCATAAAGTACATTACATTCAAAACATTTAAATATTTCAAATTCCCCATAAAAAGACCTACAAATAATTTGTGAAAAAAGTAATTTAAAAAAAATACAGTTTTACACAAAATACGTAGATAATTGTGGCATATTAAAAAAAAATATTCAAGTAATGTATCCTATTGCAATGATTTACATAAATTAACGAAATTAGTTTGTATATTAGAAATTTGAATGCTTTTTAATACCTAATTTCTAATCAATCGCAAATCTCGTGGCCACACGAACCACGCAAGCGTTAGACAGTGCATGCAATTTACAATTTTCATATTATAATCTGTATTCAAGACCGTTAAACAGTGTATCTAGATGTGTTGATAAACAAAGAGATATTCACTTGGCGAGGGCGTCACATGATTATCTATATTAATAAATTTTACTATTTTAATGTTGAAATATGCACATGCGATTAAGTATACATGTGTAAAAAATGTTTTTATACTTGTTTGATATGTATGTTCTTAGTTGCTGTTAGGTAACGACAGAAGTTACTGTCTGTTTTAAATCAAACATTTTAACTGCTTAAGACGCGATATACATATTAGTTAAAGTAAAAATTATTTTAAAAAACGGCCGGCCCCCCCCCCAAAGCCCGGCCGCCGCAAAAAAACAAAAAAAACTAAAAAAAAATTAACCGGTTTAAAACCGTTAAAGTGTTTTATTTCAATGTGACTACTCGCGTAAACCACAAAGAGACGTCTGTTTAGTTTCCGATTGTCAAACTTCCTGTAGCAGCTCGTGGTCACGGTGGTCCACTTCAAACATTCTATTATTGAGCAACACGACATTGTATTGTCATCATGCAACCCCAATACTAGGGACTCTTTTCCGTCTAATCACAATGTACCTTACAGAACGAGTACCTTTAGCCAACTAAAAAAAAAAACCTTAAACTAAAAAATAACCAAATCATATATAACTTATGTGATGTGACGAATTTCTATATAAAGGTACATGCTAAAATAAAATAAGACATAAATATATGTAAGTTCATTTGCGTGAGCTGAAATAAGTATATTATTTGCTGTTCGCCTACAATAACATAATATTT